TGACCACCCTTTCCGTAAAGAAATTTTTCCTAATTTCCAACCTAAACCTCCCCTGGCGCAGCTTAAGCCCATTTCCTCTCGTAATTCTCGTAATCCCTCAGTAATTCCAGACAGAGTAGTTTGTCCTGAAATTTTGGCAGGGGCAGGTCCTGCAGTGACCCTGGTCCAGGTTTAACATGAATGTTCTGCCCCCAAACCAAGTTTTGGGGCTGTGGTTTCTGCTGGCCAGTCTGACTTGGCTGCAGCCAGGGCCTCTCCTCAGGGCATTTCTGGCCTTTCTAGGCCAGTCTAGGTTTTGCATTTCGGTGCCGTGTCTAAGACAAGAAGACCTGCTCTCGTAAAGGTCATGGTTTGTCTGCACACGCTGAGACGGCGCTTGTGACGGCAGGTCGGTCCGTCGCTGCCGCGGGATCTGCTGCCTCCCCGCCTCGCAGGAAGATGGGGGACGATGGCACCGGTGCTCTGCCGGGCACGGCCCTCACTTTGCACAGCAACGATTAAGAAACCCAGGTGCCAGGGAGCAATAGTGAACCCCAGCCATTCCCCCCAAAATCCTTGGGAGGTTTTTATAAATGAGGGCTGTGGGGTTCGGGGTGGAGGGATCGATTCACGGTGCGTCCTAACTGGGTCAGATAACGATTGCTACACAGCTCATGGAAAAGTGAAGCAATGGACACGTGTTGGGGTTTCGGGGTGGTTTTTTGGTCATCTGTCATTGGGCCAAAGGGCTTGGGTTTGGGGCATTAGGGTTTTATTATCACCTGCCTGTGTGACCTTGGTAACTCCTTATTTGCCTCGATATCCTCAGCTGCATCTCTAAAATTGGGTTTTACTGCTTGAGCCGAGCTGTGTGTTTATTTGCTCCGTGGTGGGACTCACTGCTTGCAAATTGATTTCCTGGGCATTAAGAATTGCAAAGAGCAAGTGGGGAATTACAAACAAAAGAAATTCCCAACCAGAGCTCCTTAGAGCTCCCAGCTGTTGTATTTTTGATCTTTTTGCAGTGTCTGAAGGTTTGTATTAAACTAAATGGGTTTGGGAAATCAGACTGAGACATTTCCTCCTCCTAATACTTACTGTCCTTGCCCAGGTGCCACTGCCAAAGCAGCTGGAGTGAGAGACCAGACTGACCCGAAGAAAACAATCTGGAATAAAGACTATTCAAGTTTTGCTTACAACTGTTTCAGCAGATGTTTTCTGCAGAACCCAGGTGGTATATACGACTCTTTGGGAACAAAGCTTGCAATACACACTTTTATAAGTGTGGTGAAAATGGCTGGCATGGGAAAAGTCAGCGCTAAGCGTTTCCATCAGGTATCAAACAATCCCGGTGCCATCTGCCTGCCAAGCGGATTTGAGGCTCCAGTTTGTTGTGGGAGTATTTTCTCAGAGGCATCAATAACCTTGTCTTTCTAGTTTGTCAGCAAACTATTTTGCTTCCACGTTTGTCCTTCTGCTGCCAGATTCTGCAGGAACATGCTGTGCTTTATCTTATCTTTCTTTTCACACACACGCTCCTTTATTCTTCTCTTGTCCATGAGAAATGTATTTGGTTTCCATGTATACAGCTTCATTTTTTAGGCTAAGGAAAAAGAAATGAAATAAAGCTCTCTCTGTAAGACGTGTGCAAGCACTTCCATGGCTAATGAGATGCTCGCAGAACAGAATGACTGCTCTGGTACATCAAACACCGCGGCTTGATGGTTTCAAGCTACCTCTGATGCAGAACACAGTTTAGTTGGTATTGTACCCAATCAGCCTGTAAAAGGTGATGCCATGCTCTGTTTTGAGAGCTGCCATCTTCATTCCCCATGATTCACCTCTGTTAATGATGTAATCCTTAATTACAGCCACCTTGGAGTGCATGGAAATGCCATTTCAGGTCTCTCACCGCACCACTCTTCAGTGGCGGGAGGATGAGCCTTATCCCACTCTTTGCCAGGGATTTAAGAAACTCATCATTCCTCCTAGTGCGGGGTCTGAATAGCATGTCTCACCCCTGGCAGGGCTGGATCTGATGGGTTTAAACCTGCATATACACAACTTAGTTTTTCCTTCATATTTTTGTGATATTTTTTCTCCTCTCCTTTTTTTTTAATCACATTAGGTTTTTTTTGCTGCAAGCCTTTTTGGTAAAGCAGCTATGGGCAAGTCACACTCTTGTGGAATACATCCACAGGAGACCAGTTGGTTTTGGTGATTTGTTGTGGGTTTTTTTGGTGGTGGGGTTTTTTTTCTAAAAGAAAGCCATTTAAAGCTGTAAGCTATAG